GTTGGAAATCTTGAACTTGGCTCATCACAATCTTAGAATCAACCATTACAAAGTCTAGAAATTTGCCTACTATGAATTTCTTCGAGCCAGTATCTTTTGTTTTGTACTTTTTCTCCAAAGACTTTCAAAGTTCCTTTGCTGTTTTAATAGGGCTGTAGACTTAGTACAATGTGTTATCAAGCCCGTTCAAAATGTAGTTCCGGCAAAGGAAATCAACATGTTCTAGGCATCGACCACAGCAACCACTTGTTGGTTGGTTGGTTTCATCCTCGTTCAGAGTAGGGCATTCTCTCGAAGGAAACGAGCTAGGTTTAGAGTACAAAGATAGAATAACATTTTCTGCTGCCATCTTTTAAAATCAGGCATCGATCAACATTATTTTTTTTTTTGCACATAATTTTCTTTAGTTCTTTGTATTTGAAAGTTGATTTTTAAAGTTTTGAAAATCAAAATAAATGTCAAATCATCATGTTCTTTTATAGATAATCATAAATGATGAACAATCATTTTTTGAAGGACAATTCCAATTATTAAAAATTTAATTGAGACTTGAAAATCTAAAAAATCTTGAGTTCATAAATTAGAACTTGTGTGTAATGCCATTTTTTTTCATTTTATTTTTTTTTAATGGACCTCATCTTCAACATCTTATACATTTGTAAATGTATATAAAAAAATAAAATAATAATAACAAGTGTTGAAAGTTCCATCTTTTTTTGGGAAAAAAATTACATATTAGTGAAATTTTTATAAAATATTTACAAATTAATAAAAAAATTATAAATTTAATTATTAATATTTATTAAATTTATTATTGATTTAAATTTCTTTTTTTAAAAAAAAAAATACACTGAGTTATAATTTTATTTTATTTTATTTTATTTTTTTATTTTTTATTTTTTCCGAATCATAAGAAGTTAAAAAAAGCGTACAATTCTTTTGTTCGCAAGAGTAATTCCGGTAATGAAAGGGACACACCCAAATCATAAAAAGTGACGATTTCCGACCAGAGAAGTACGCAGCTACAGACCCAGAAAACATGGTTTGGAGGTTGAAATGATACACATAAGTCAATTGGTTTGCATAATACAGAAAATTAAGGAGACCTACGATGCTTGATTCAATTTTAAATGTATTTGACTGGTTATTTGGATAGACAATTTTATTTTTTAACTTTTGTAGTTCCATTTAAATTTTAGTTTAAAAGAGACTTATTGAATATTATAACTAGTCTCATCCTATTTTACCTCCTCTAGGAGTATTTCTAATCATACTCCTTATTTTTCACTAGCTAAAATTTAAAAATAGTATGTTCTTTATTTTACCTAATTACTTCAACTAATATGTGCTTCAACTATACTTTTTATTTTATCTAACAATTCAAACTAACTCAACCAATTTTTTAAAATAAAAATACTATATATATATTACTGTATTTTCCATGACATGCCACGTATTTATTAAGTGTTGATGTGGTTATCAATAAGACATTTCTGACAATATTTTTTTAAACATTTAAAAAATTTATTTAGAATATTTTTTTTTTTTATAAACTATGTGGTATATGAACTGAGTGACCATTACATATATAAACTGTGCAGGGTGCACAACAGTCACTATTGTACAGTTAAATGAGCCCATTTCGGGGATCATTTTGATAATCCGAACCGTTCACATTTTAGAATATATCAAGTAGAACATACTTGCAAACAATCAAATTAATCGGATATCGTTCACCTATTTATCCACTCACATTTCTATCTACAAAAATAAATAGCAATTGAGATTTAAAGTATTAAAATGAATACAAATGTGAGTGGATGAAAGAGTAAACGATATCCAATTAACTTGATTTTTTGTAAGTATGTTCTCCTTGATATTTTCTAAAATGTGAACGGTTCAAATTATCGATATGAACGTTGAGATGAGCCCATTTAACTGCACAACAGTGACTATTGTGCACCCTCGCAGAGTAGCCACCCCAAATCTTATAAAAATTGGCCATTGCTCATACAAACATACAAAACTTATAGAATAGTCTAGAGAAGATCCATATATATGGCAGAATTCCAACTAAACAAACTATGATGACAATATATACACAAACACGTGAATATATGTACATATTGAATAGAATAAAAATTTAAATAATATAATATAAATATAAAAGATATATACATATACATAAACGCAATACATATACAAAATTTCACTTTTTACGTAAACCCAGTACATATATATACATACTGTTATAAATTATTTACTAATAACAATAGTAATCTCCATATTTTTGTTTCACTTCCTTTCTTGGATCCCACATTAGAATCTAAAAAATTCTCTACTCTTTCACTTGGAGGGAATTTAATATTTTGTTTCCCTTCCATGCACCTAGAATTCAAATTTTTAGCTTGATTCTCACATTGAAATCTTGAGCAAATGAGTGTGCTCTCATCTGCTATATATAGAGAAAGGACTTTCCATATTCTTTCAAGTTTTTATTGGAGGTATTCCTTTGAAGATATCCATGAGATGAGCTTCTAGTTCTTTTGATATATCTATCTATCTATCTATCTATCTATCTATACTATTATAAAGTGAACACCTCTTATGGTGTCTTGAAGCCTTTATTTCTTATGCTACCATGTGTCTACTTTTTTATTTGAAAAAAAAAATTAGATAGATGAGAAGAGGAGATTTGAACCTTAGACTTATGTCAAATGAATAAGACTTTTACCACTTAACTAGCACACAATATATGACAAGTATTTTATTTTATTTTTATTTATTTGAATTACACACGCATCGCGTGTGGCAACCGCTAGTGTATATATATATATTAAAGAATTCAATTTCAAAACCTAATTGGTTGTCAGTTACGGACGTTGGGCATTAGTTCAAATATTTGAAATTCTGGTAGTGTCTATAAAGAAATGATGCACATCTTCTTTGTTTGGTGTTTGTTCGAGTTCATTTTAAGGTACTCTCTTCTACAACCCATAATCACTAAGTTTTTCTTGGTTGTTCCTTGTCTGTTTTCATTCTAATATTTTCTGGGTTAAGGTTCTGGTTTAGAAAACAACTAAGGAATACCATCTTAGTATTGTTTTCTTATTATAGGCATTGTATCCTGGACATCTAATTTCCAAGAGTCCTTTTTGTATAATAGAGGAGAAATACTATCTTAAAGAAAGTATCATGGATGTACCTTGCCTTTGTTCTATTTTTCTACTTTCTTTAAATTTGAGTCTTTCATACACATTTTTTTTCTTTTATACAACAATTTTAAGGTCATAAAAATGAATCCCACAACGATGATTAAGACACAAATTGATTAAGTTGAGAGGCTTGAATGTTTCAATGGCCTTAACTACAAATGTTAGAGTATGAAGATTTTATTCCAATTTATTGTTGCAAAGGTTGCTTAGTGCTTTCTATTGCCTACCCTCAAACAGAAATGTCTCCTGTATCTGATGGATCTAATGCTAGTCTGGTTCTAGTATATCCGAAGGAGGCTTGATAGAAACACAGAAGAAATTGAGAAAGTCATCTTCATGGGAAATTCTTCTAGTAGTGCTATCGTAGGCAAAGGAATCATGAAACTTCCTCTCTCTTTCGTTAAAGTTCTTACTTTGCATGATGTCACTACAAGAATCTGCACTTTTAGCGACTACTTTTTGTGACCAATATAAAAGTTGGTAGTTAAAAGTTACCTTTTCACGACCAAATATTAATTAGTCGCGAATGATCATTATTTTTGGCCACCAAATATGAGTTGGTCGCAGAAGGTCATATTTTGACAACCAAAAAATGAGTTAGTCGTAGAAAGTGGTATGCTTTTGGCGACCAACTACAAATTTGGTCGCGGAAGATCACATTTTGGCGACCAAAAAACAAGTAGATTGCGGAAGATCAAAAATAAGTTGGTTGTGGAATTGGCGACCAAAATTTTAGTCGCCAAAAACTTATTTTCCCCAACCATAAATATTTTAGTTGCCATATATTGAGTTTTGGCTACTAAAACAATTTATTCGCCGAATGGAAAATAATTTTTTTTTCTTTAGCGACCAAAAATTTGGTCGCCAAAAACTTATTTCAGCAACCAAAAAAAAATTAGTCACCAAATTAGTACTTTTAGCAACTAATATTTTAGTCACCGTTGATTGAGATTTGGTGACTAAAAAAGTTTGTCGGCAAAGGTACCTTTTCTGCAACTTATCTGGTCTTTTGGTCGCCAAAAGTTTGGAAGGGAAATTTGAAACGTGGAAGACGAAATATTACTATCCATTTTGAATTTTAAGTTTAATTTCATTATATATGTATATTTTTTATTTATTTGTATCTTAGCTTAGATACATATGCCAAGCACCGAACAAATAAAAAAATTCGCTTGCTCTCGCTCTCTCTCTCTCTCACCGTTGCCCATAATGTATTCTCTGTTTCTCTCTTTGCTCTCTGTCTATTTCTCTTTCTCTTTGACATTCACATAAACACCAACCCTAGGCCACCATTCAAAATCACTACCACCAAAAATGTCTCACACCATGGTCATGTCGCTCTGTTTCCCCACTATGAGGTCGGCGGCGAACCGGCCAAAGCAGAGAGCAAAACACGAAGAAGGCGCTAACACGAAACGAAACAGGAGCAGCGGCGGAGCAGCAATGGGTTTGGCGGAGAGAGGAAGGATGTTCGGTGGTAGTGTGTGGAGCCGCCTACACTCTACCATTGCTAATCCTCTCAATCTCAGACCTCTTGCATCAGATAAACACGCTCGCTCTCTCTCTCTCTCTCTCTCTCTTCCTCTCTCTCGTTTCCCCAATTTCAAACCCTAACTCTAATTTTCAACTTCTCAGATCTTTGCCCCTTCATTGTCCAACCTCACCATCTCGTTTTTCCAAAAACATTTCAATTTTTAAGTGGTATTGGTGGCATGGTGTTCCTATTCTCTCTCTCTCTCTCTCTATATATATATATATAGTGTGCGTGTGTGTGTGTGCTTGTGTGTTTGGTCTATCCTTACCAGGTACATATATAGTGTGTGCTTGTGTGTTTGGCCTCTCCTTACCAGGTATTGATGAACTCTATATCTATATATATATATACACACACGCAATAGAGTGTTTGTATGTATCAATGATAGTAGTCATATGGTCTCTCCTTATTGTTTGGCATGCCTATAAGGTGTTTGTTTTTTGGTCTATGTTAAAATGTTTGGAGGAAAGCAAGAAAGAAAACCGCATTGAATACATAATTTACGATCTCTGTCTCTTTTTTTTCTTAAGTTTTAATTGATTTCTTTATTTTGAGTTGAAGTTGTTGCTATGGTTGTGTCTTTGTATTTTTTTTCTTTTGAAATTGTAGAGTTGATTTGGAATTCCCAAAAGTTGAGGTTCGATTTCAAGACCTGTGTGTCGATGCTTTTGTCCTTGTTGGAAGCAAAGCACTACCCATTATTCCCAATTTCATTTTGAACATGACTGAGGTAAGAAATTTTTTTTTCCCCTTTCGTCCTTAACTATTTTCCAGCTATAGTCTCATTCTGTAGTATGAAATGCTTATTATGTTTCCATTCCTAAAAAATTGGAATAGATCTTTTTGGGCCAATTGAGGATTTTTCCAGGAAGAAGAAAGAATTTTTGTTCTGATGTTGTTTTGGAGAGGTTATGTTGGCCTGGAAAAAAGAATTTTTGTCAAGGTGTTGTCCAGGCAGAAGAAAGAAGTCTGATGTTGTCTGATGTTGATTTCCAGGCAGAAGAAAAAATTCTTCTAGTGTTGTTTATAAGAGGGAAAAAAAATAAGTTGATTTTTTGACCAAACAAAATTTCTAATGTTGATTTGTTTGGTGGAAATTCTTATAGTTTATTTGTCTCACAGTTATTCTTATAGTTTTTAGTTATATATTTATTTGTCTCATAGTTATTCTTATAGTTTTTAGTTGCATCCTAAATAATTGGTTATAGGTAAATGGTTTTCTTTTAGCTGCTGGGTCAAATTTGACAGTTTCTGATTCACAAAAGTCATATTGTGAAGGGGAGGAAGCTCAGGATCAAGTATTCTCACCTCCTTTGCTAATGGACTCCTCGGACGTCACAGAAGTCATATCGTGAGTATATTCCTTCTCCACTGTGAACAACCACCATCAGCCCTCTTTTTCCTTTTACCCTTGTTTCTTCCCCCTCTCTCTCTCTATATATATACTATATAATTGTTATATGAATTTGGCTATGGTGAGAGTATGTGGATGACCTGTTCGATGAAATTCCAAAATGGGTTTGGAATTAGGGAAATCATGATAGTCTGTTAGATGAACTGGGTTTGGACTGATTGTCTTATGTTTATATTAAAATTTGTTGGAAATAAGAAGAATACAAGGAATGTTACTCTATATAAGCGGTATGAATTTATTGCTTTATAGTTCTGTTTAGCTTGGAGTGGACAAGTTAGGTGGATATAAATTATTCTTATATTGCTGGTCATTTTTTGGGTTTTCTTTGAGCTTCTATTAGTTGTTAGAAAAAGAGTAAGAGACATGTTCACCAATCAATGTTCTAACAGCACTTAACATGGGAAAAATGTGTTCTACACATTTGATTAGGATTATTTGATATGATTAGGATTATTTTGCTATTTTTATTTTTACGACAAATCTGGTCCGATGGCAGGGCACCACCAGATGTTCTAAAAATATTAGACTTGAATAATAGTCCTAGCCAAATATAATTTAAAATAAAAAAAAATATAAATATAATATTTCTAAAAATCCACTTGCCTCAAATAGGAAGGTAAATGCTTTTATATGTCAGCTAAGAAGCACGGACACTTATAAGAAAGTGTCGTGTCCTTTTCTATCTTATTATAACTTAAATTTTTTCGTATTGAATTCATTTTTTAAACTTGGAAGATATATGCGTCCATCATTTAGACACACATGTGACACATGGCAAGTTTAAAGAAAGTAACTTTGGAGCTAATGATTAAAATCAAAACAATGTAATGCAATAACTATTACTTCCTTTTTAAAAAGTTATAATTTTATGAATTCTAAAGCCAAAAAGTTTCAATTTTCTTATGAACTGGGCTTTGTAAAATAGATATTAGGATTTTTTGGTAACACTTCTTTTCCAGTAGATAGATATGGAAAATGAAGAAATTGTTATTATTTTCATGAATATGTAAAAATATTTTAATTTGTTTTTGTGCCCTTGTCATATCGTGTTCATTTTTTTTTTCCCAAATTGTCATGTGGGCATGTCCGTGTTGTGCCGCGTCCATGTCTAATTCTCATATCTGGCTTCTTTGTCTGTTAGTGCAGTTCAACAGACCCTGCAACCTGTATTCTTTTAAATTTTGAAATTGGGGCCTTTCATGAGAGGCTTTATTCTCATGCATTTTTTTAAACTCCGGATCCAATCCTCACTCAAACACATCCTAATTTGTTGAAATTTGAACAGGCCCGCTACAAGACCCAATTAGATCCTACCGTAGAAGAAGTGAAGAAACTTTGTACTACGTGTCGCAAATATGCCAAGTCTGAAAGAGTTCTGTTTCATTACAATGGACATGGTGTGCCAAAGCCAACTGCTAATGGTGAAATTTGGCTATTCAACAAGGTTTCATTACTGAGCTGAAAGTGTTTCCATGCCTTTTATTGTTCATAATCTGTTTCAAATCTTTATATTCTTCTAATTGTGTCATTTGGTCCAGAGTTATACACAATATATCCCATTACCGATCAGTGATCTTGATTCCTGGTTGAAGACACCATCGATATATGTTTTTGACTGCTCTGCTGCGGGAATGATTGTCAATGCCTTCATAGAGGTATTCAATTCTGTGTAGGGTGAATTCATAATAAGCGTTTGATTTTGCCATGATATAGGAATTATTATTGTGTTTCTTCAGCTCTCTGACTTTTAGTATGATTGTCTATGTTATAGCTTCAGGATTGGAGTGCTTCTACTTCTTCTGGATCTTCCCTGAGGGATTGCATTCTGCTTGCAGCCTGTTGCTGATGTGTTTACGTCATGCCTCACCACTCCCATCAAGATGGCATTGAGATAGCGAGACATTTTATTCATTTATTTCATTTTCATTACCAGCTTTAATTCTATTTTCTTTTGCAAACTCTTTTAGTGCTAGCCAGACTGCTAGCATTAAGCCCCTATGTTTCTTTCTTGTCTTTGGTAATGCATCTTTTAGGTCCAAGCATCTTCATGTTTGTTAACACCCTTTTGTCATAAGATCCTGAGTATGTTTTGAGCTGAGTGTACGACATAATTTGGACTCTCATTAATTGGTTTGAAGGTAGAATTAAGGAAAGGGCTTATACCGTTGTTATGTTGTCGTTGAATGAGCTTCTATGTCATTGTAAGTTTATGTTTTTTCTACTATTAGCATAAATGATAATTGTGGCTATTGCCAGCATACTTTATGAAAATTGTCATACTAGGGAATAAATGAATCTGTGATTGTCAATTTTGGAGGATGATCACACTTGTTTCCAGTAATGCAGCAATATTTTTGTTTTGTATAACTTGAGGTAACTAACAAAACCTTCAAAGCCAACACGTCATCTTAAATAATAAAATTCTTGAAGGGTGGTGTGTTGGTTTAAGGCAAGTTCTTCTTTTGGAGACTTTTGGCATTTGATTATTTTCTACTGTAGGATGGACCTTCTGCAAATGTATGTTGAAGCTGTCTACCCACATTTTATTTTCCACATTTGCATTTAATATTGTTATATTTTCCACAATAAAGGAAATTTGTTAATTATTGTTCCTAAGTTTTTTCTTTTTGAAATGTTATTATTCCTTAATTGTGGTTAGGTTGAATGAATTTTATTCGATATTGGATTGAATGTTTATAAACAAAAAATTGATTGTTCTAAAAAAAAAAAAAAAAAAAAAGGAAAGATTTTGCGACTAAAAAATGGATCGGCAAATTCTACACTTTCGCGACTAAAATCATTGGTCGGCAATTCCTTACCTTTTGGCGACTAAATTGTTAGTTGGCAATTCCTCGACTTTTGGTAACTAATCTGTTTGGTCGTGAAATGTGACAATTGGCGACTAAGATATTTGGTCGGGAAAATATCACTTTTCCCGACCAAAGTGTTTTAGCGACAAAATGGATTAGTCGCAGTAATGATATATTTAGCGACCAACAATTTAGTCGGCAAATCCAACTTCTCCCGACCAACAAAAATTTTGGTCGCGAATTACTTTTGCCAACCCTCAATTGGCGACCAAAGTAGCGACCAAAAAAATTGGTCGCGGATAACTTTTGCCAACTAAAAATGGGCTTTTAGCGACCAATTTTTTGGTCAGCAAATGTGTTATTTCTTGTGGTGTGTGTGTCACATTCCGGGACTTAGGAAGAATCTTGTATCCGTTAAGAGGCTTGATGATCATGGCTTTAGAGTTGTATTTGATTCCCAAAAGGTGATCATCTCTAAGAAGTGATCCTTTGTTGGGAACGGTTATGCTAAAGACAATATGTATTCTATTAATCTTAATAAAGACATTTCTATTTCTGCTTATATGCTTCATTCACATGTTAATTTTGTTTGGCATTATAGATTAGGACATATTGGTACGAATTCTATGACTCCCATGATTTCTCATGGTTTGTTCCTAAATCTAGTCGTGTTTTAACTGCACAAAATTGTGAATATTGTGCTCAAGCAAAAATTGTTAAGAAACTTTTTAAATTTCTTAGTAGATCTATTACTTTGTTAGAATTAATTAATATTGATACATGTGATAATAATATAATTACTAGAGGAGACAAAAGATATTTCATAACTTTCGTAAATGATTTTTCTAAATTTACTTTTGTTTATTTGTTAAAAACAAAAGATGAAATTTTTGAAAATTTTAAAGTATTTAAGGCAGAAGTTGAAAATAAACTTGGAAAGAAAATTAAGAACATTAGATTCGATATGGGTGGTGAATATCAACTTAATGATTAAATTGAATTTTGTCAAACACATGGAATAGTTAGAGAAGAAATAACCCCTCATTCTCCTCTATAATTGTTGCAGAACGAAAAAATAGAACTTTATTAGAAATGGTAGTGCTATTGTAACACTTTGTATTCATTGGACTACTGGGATTGCTCTTGACACTCTTATTATTGTACTTGGAGCCTCTTTAGTTTATTTTGGAATATTGATTGAGGTGGTATCATAATGGTAAAGTAGGATTGAACCTAAAATATTGATTTGAATAATTGTCCTATGAGCAGTCTTCACTCTTTTGCCTTTTTCTTTTTCCACACTTTGAATGTGGATGTGAGGATAGAACCATTGGAAAGCTTGTTTCCAAGGCTTCAATTTAGACACAAGAACAACCCAAAGATGAAGGAGTTATGCCCGTTTGAAATTTGAGTACCTGTATTGGAAGCAAGTTTGCTTGAGCGAACTTTTGACTACATTGTGCAAATTTCAGAGATTCTGGGAGCTTTTTTTCACCACTCGAGCCAAGCTTTGACCGCTTGAGCGGTGTATTCAAAATCTGGCACTTTAAAGTCACTTTTTGGCCTAAACTCTTCATTCTTTCTTCTCATCTTCTCCCTCTCTCCTCCATACTCGAAACCCTAGACCTCCAAACCTTGATTTCATCAATTTTTCACTAAGAATCCACCATAGATCTTGTATTAAAGGTGAAGAACAAGAGAAAATTAATATTTTGACCAATTGGATTGCGATTTCTTTGAGGTTTCTCTTTGGGTTTGCATTTTCTTGTCTTCATTCTTAAGGTATGGGTACTTTCAACTTGATATATTTATAAATTGAGATATATATGTGATTATTTCTTAGTTATAGTAATATAAGAGATGGTTTTGTGATATAAAGTGTGTTTGTTGAATAAAAAGGGGTTTTCCTCATATTTTGGAAAAAATTATGCATATCCTTCTTGATTATTGTTTGAAACTGTGAATATTGACTCTCTATGTGTAAAGGTGGGCCATAACTTTTCCAAAAATCCTAGTTTTCAAATTTGATTTAATAATGGGTTTGGCCAAATTTTTGACTCTTAAATCTTGAAATTGGGCGAAGGATTATGGAAATTGTGTCGAGATATGAGATTTTTGAAGCTCTTTGAGTATATGTATTGATATTGATAAATGTTGAGATTGTGGAGATTGTGAGATTCAAGAAATCTTTTGGTTATTGATATTATTAATGTTGTTGTGGATTGAACGAACCTTATGGAAAATTTATTTGAAAACTCATGCATCATGTGCATCATAATTTCTCATGTGATTTAACCAGCTTGTGGATGTTTTGAAAATGTCAAAGGGGGTAAATAGTGTATGGGTCTGGGTAGTTAAGTCGGGGTTTTTGGAATTGAGTTACGTGTTATATTTGGTACCCACACAGGGAGTCAAGGTGCCCAATTGCCCTGTCTTGTGCATATCATCGGACGAATGTGGGAAAGGTTTTTGGGTATCCACGAGCCTGCCGTTTATAGAGTCAGCGAATGTGAAAAACTTGATTTTGGGTGTCCACAAGCCCGCCGTTTTAGGAGTCAGCGAAAGTGGAGAGGGAAAGGTTTAGGGTGCCTATCGCTCTGTCCTTTTTAGAGTCGGCAAATGTGGAAATATTTTGTGAATATAAATCTATATATGTATGTATGGTTTTGCGGCTCTTGCTTGGGATACCATAACGTATTTACCACCTCATGTTTGTGGACGAGACTTTGAATGGAAATCATGCATTGAACATTTTTGGTTTTAAAAGAGAAAATATGGATTTTATCCTAATAAGTGCATGGCATGATCATATGCATCTCTATTATTTATATGTCTTGTTAATAGTATTTCCTACTAGGCATTAGCTCACCCCAACTAACAACATTTTAGGAATTGATGGTGTGACTCTGCCCTTGTGACAAGGCGGTGAAGATTTTGAATGGAGCACGTGGGCTCATTGGATGTTATTTGTTGAAGCTTCGAGCTAATGTGCGTTGGGACTGAATGTCCACCCTTTTGTGTAATCAAGGGGTTTCCCTTGAAACTTGTATGCCATTAGGGCACCTTTACTTTTGATTTCTTTAATTTTGTGAACTATAACTTGTATCGTGAGTATAAGATGTAATAGTTTAATATAGTTCAATGGGAAAGAGATTTACTTATTGAGAGATAATATTTTTCTTAAAGCATTACCTTACGAGAAATGGATTTATTTGATGGAAACCGATGAATAATTAATTAAAAATTGACTATATAAACGTTCATAATTTTGGGGGCCGTTACAGCTATGTTAATTCATTCAAAATTGCCTAATAGTTTTTAGGCTGAGGTTTTATTTACAACTTGTCATATTTCTAATAGAATCATACATAAAAATAAAAATAAGAATCCTTATGAGTTGCAGAAAAATCATAAATCAAATATTAATTATTTTAAGGTTTGGGGTTGTATTGCTTATGTTTTAGATGTTTCACATAAAAGCCCTAAGTTAGAAAGTAAGGCTATAAAATTTATTTTTATAGGATATTCTATGAATAACAAAGCTTCTAGATTTTTAAATTTAAATTCAAAAGGTGTTTTTGAAGCAACTCATGCAATTTATTATGAACATTTGACTATTAAAGATGCTAATAATCATGAATTGGAAAAAGAAATGTTAATTGAGTTAGACAATACTTATCCTTCTTTGAATGATTCACTAATTGATAATGGATTGCCTAATGTTAGTGATAATAATAAAGAAACTGAATTAGTAGATAAATCTATTGAATTGAGAAGAAGTAAAAGACAAAGAATTGAAAGATTTTGGTCCTGAAATGTTTACTTATTTATTAGATCATGGTCAAGATCCTAAAACTTTTAATGAGGCTATGTGTTTGCATGATGCTAATTTATGGGAAATTGCTATGGATGATGAAATTAAATCTATTCATGATAACAACACTTGGACTTTAACTAATCTTCCTCCTAATACAAAACCAATGTAAATGAGTGTTAAGAAAGAAACTTGAAACTGATGGAAGTATAGATAAATATA